GAAAAATACAGAAGAAAATACGGGTGTTATTGAAAGAAGACAATATTCCACCGCTAAAGTGGCCTTTGGATCGAATTGTAAAGGTAATGTCAGGGTTAGATGGAAGAGTAAGGGTAGGGCAAGTAAAGACTCAAGATGGAATATTTACGAGACCAATTACTAAAATGAGTCCGTTACCTTTTGATTCAAATTAATGATATAAATGATATTGTTGAAACTTACACTTCAAGGGGGGAGAATATTTCAATTTCAATTTTCTGTCAAAACATTTATGGTTGCACATAGCTCTTGTTTCAATTTCAATATTTTCCAATACTATATACATCCACTTTCCTAAAATGCAAGAAAATCATCAACAGTTGGCATCACTGATTTCGCCCTTCAAGCTCTTTGCCCTATGCTTTTCTCCAGCTCATAAGCTTTATGTGTCAGCTAATCAAATTTTTGTTAAAACAGAAACACCAACAAAACGTCCCATTCTTTTACAGGCAATTTAAGTGCTTTTAAAGGGTTGACATGCTGTCTTACATGTGTTAAAAATGCCCTAAGTTGTTTCCCTGTACCTTTAGAGATACCAAGGGCCCGATTCTCGTCTCAGGGAGTATAGAAGAGCTTCCCGATAGAACAAATGTTTTGTCCTCGTCAACGTAATCGAAAAGTAAACGAGAATGATAAAGACGATGCATTTCATTTGTTCTCTCAGGGATTACGTTGACAAGGACAAAACATTCGTTCTATCGTTAATGGTAAATTTTTTATTAAATTCAATGCCTCACCTGCTAATGCAACCTTTAGATACAAAAACTTTTGTACATTGTCCAAATATGAATGGCCATCAATTATTGCCAAAAACAAGTCTATAAAAGCTTGCCAGTCTTATATTCTCCCTGAAAAAGATGGAATATTTACACTTGGCAAACGAGCATTTTATTTGTACACCAGCACCAATTGAAGCCAGCATTAACTGAGCTAGAGACTGCTGCAGATTTGCAGCAGTTAATTGATTCCCTTGTCTAATTTTAGCTTTCAATTTTGATAATATCGTTAAATAATTTAATTCAACATCACCTCTATCCATCCCTTTGTTCTCATCAATTGCCTCTAAGCTCTGTTGAATCGTACAATAATCTTGAAATGCTTTTTCCAAAAAGAGTTTCCTAGTTTCATATTCACTTATATCGACAGTACTTACATTCTCATTAGCTAATACAAATGTTTTTACTCTTGTTATAGAGCCCTTTACCACACCTCTTTGTTTTTTCAGAGCGTCCATTATATAATAGTAGTTAACACAATAAATATTGAAAACTACTTACAACATGCAAAATACTTTAAGCAGAGTGGCCCTTCAACTACAACAAATATTAATTAAGATAAGCAAATAATATCCATGGAACAAATTACAAGTTCTCATTTTATCTTAAAGTTCAATATAATATTCAAATTTTTCCAGCACCGTTCCTTTAATTTGATACCACCTCTGCTTTGCAAAAATAAATTTAAAAGATCTGACCTTAATGCTGCAATCCAGTAATCGATATCAATCCAATATTTTCAGATTCCGTGCTATATTAATCCACTTCTGGATTCCCATAAACCAAACCCAATTAATCCGGCTCGAAGGACCAAAATCTTGGGACAATTACCTAATAATTGGACTGTGTTTCCTTCAATGAATGGTCAAAAATGTGTTTTCCTATTTCCTCAGTCCCAACTTGTTCCTATAATCGAAGGACCAACTGATGAATAAAAACCCAATATCAGTGAAATTTTCTTTTTATTAGTAAACAAGTATCAACAGGACTCAGGACATTACGCTCTACTTTTTCTTATATCAAAACTAATAATCTAAAACTAAATTATCAATAACTATTATTACTATAGAAAAACAAAATAAACAAAGAACTAATTATTAAAATAACAAGACTACTAAAATTATAAAATCAACAACAGGCAACTTTGCACTCTTCATTTTTTAATTCTTGAACACTATTTAACTAACCTAAAAAATTTATGTATGACAAGAAAATTCCTGTCTAGTGAAGATAAACGGAGGGAGTGATATTCAGGGAGATGTGCACAACAAAGATACATATAATCAGCTAGCACTGCCATTATTCCTCAATAGATAGTAGTATATAAGAGATCGTTAGAAAGGTATTTCAAATATGTACTTTTCTTTAAAAAAAAACATTGTGGCCCAAGCGACCCTTTCATAGAATTTGGCATGGCAGTCAAAGTGTTAATTTGGTGAATCCGAATTTAGGTACCTACTGTTATCAATCCAAAGAGGTTTTATTTAGAACGGTTTCTATACAGGGTGAATCTGAAAGTGAGGGTTTTTTTTTAACAGGATATATATCTCGCCAAAATAAGTTGTTTGGCAAAAAATTGTTTACATGAAAAATTTAAGATAACGGAAGTACAGGTATTTTAGGGTTATGTGCATTAAAAATCTAATTTCAATAATCTAAGATTTAGGGTGGGTATTTTAAAGCTACTCTGAGAGTTAACTTAAAGTTAACTTCTGGAATAACATGTAATTCAAAAAGTTAACTTCAAGTTAACTGTCAAAGCAGTTTTATAATACCCGCCCTTAGAGAAAATATGATAAAAATTATCAGTAGTAATAGCCCAAGGACATTGATAATTGTCCGAAAAATTTTTATAAAAGATTTCGAAAGCTTGTTGCTAGAAAACAGACCGACGCGCTAGCGGAGGTCTGTTTTCTATAAGCAACAAGCTTGAGAAAGTTGTTATAAAATTTTTGAGCATTCATCAATCTTCGAGGGTTATTCCGATAGAAATTTTTTTGACAGCAATGTCCGTGACAATGTCATAGAGTGAAAACAATCCATGGGTTATTTTCAGTATAATTTTGACATGATTGGGTGATTTGTGTCACATGACAAGAAATACCAAAATTTAAGTGGCTGTTAGAACTGTCAGAAAATTTTCACAAAAATTGTTCAAAATTATTCCCATTTGTCTGTTGCTTCATTTCCCTCCTGAATTTTGTCTGTTTCACTTTAAAACGAAAATTGATGGGTTGAAAATGAATTTTTTTCTGATGGAATAATGCAACTGTGAGAACCTATTATGGAATAAGACTCATTATGCTGGACTAATAATGGCTTTTTTGCGGCTTTTTTTTGAGAAAATGTAAACAAAGTGATTTATAGTGGAAGTCTCCTCTAACCTCAAAATAGCTGTAGTTAAAAAAAAAGCCTCACTTTCGGATTCACCCTGTATAGTTACCTAAAAGTAGGTAATAAATATAAGTAAATTAAGGAATAATAGCCACTAAATTCGGTTTTATAGGTTGTATAAAATCGTTTTATTATCTATAGCAAATTAATTCTCTCCATGCTGTGTGATTTATGTCAGAAAATTAAACATGTAATATGAAATGAAAAGAAGGATAGAAAATGCATCATTTTTAAAAAAGAAAGAGCAGGAAAATGCTATATTTTGTCTAATGAATGTGCATACCTACATAATTTCGACACATTTCTATTTTCTTAAATAGGTACCTATATCGCCGTAAATTCTGGGGTCAAAATATAGAGGAAAAACCACCTATAAACGTTTGTCAAAACGAAAATTATTTTGTTTGTGAGATACCTAATACCTATACCCCATGCAGGAAAAGTTAGACCTACTTATATAATCACTATTTACCTATACTATATTTGCGCCACGTAACATTGTTTCTACCTATATATTTGTGAATGAATAAGAATATATTCAAGTAAAAAGAGCAGTGACATTTTTGAAGATGAGACAATTAGGTATACCTACTCAGAATTACAAAAATCTTATTTGGATTTTTAACAAATTACACAAATGTCAATAACACCAAGCGTTCTTGTATATGTATTATAGACCATGAGATACTGAAGTGATCGATTTATTTGTTGAAAAATGTCGTTGTGGTACTTAAATTTCGAAGTACTGTCCCTTTTCTTAAACCTTTATCTACTTTAAATGACATGAATACAATGTTTTTAAAAAAATTCTCTGTAAAACTTGCCTCCAGTATAAATCTGCCAAAACATCAGTGCAAGACTTGTGAGTTTTGGTGCAAGACCACTGTAGGCACTGTATAACACTGCAAGACCATGACCAAAGTTTCACCCAGCGTTGGTCTTGAAGTCTTTTATTTGCTCATCACTACTATCTGCTTAGGTACCTACCTACCTACGCCAACTATTCTCAAACATTTTTAGATTTTTTGTGACCATTCCATGGACTTGTGTGTAAGTTGTAAATTAAATAAGAAGACAGCTTTAGCTTGTACACAGTCTACAGTATAAAGCAATTCATTATAGAAAAAAAAACATGTAATTTTGTACCTACTTAGTTATAGCAAATTAAATTAAGAATAACCACATAAATAAACTAATGGTATCTAATTACAGCAAAGACGACACCAAATAGGCACTTAGTCCTCTCTGAAAAAATAACCTCGTTATAATTAAATCAGATCTTGGTCCATTATAGCTATAAAACGCTCGCCATAAAAAACCGGAGATATTGTAGTTGACAGGGGTATTAAATAAATTAAATTACCACTGGACACGCCCAGGTGCGCGCGCACAGTGAGGCGGTACAACGCTAATTGTGGACAAAAACAAACGTTATAGTTACGCTGAGGCATGTTATTTTCTAAAGACTCCCGCAAATTGTCCACAACCTGTTTATCTTGCACTTATACAAATCGTAAAAGTAATATCCCAGCGTTTATGGAGTTAAACGGGTTTTTTTTCTTCTTACAAGGAGAGGTGAAAATAAGGGGCCGTACGCACCACTTAATGCCATTTCAGTTATCATGCCGGTCCAATCACGTGAAAGCCTTCAACCTTCGGGTGTCGGTGGGTCTGTCCAATGAGCTGAAGGGACAGCCTACCCTGTCTTCTATTCCATTCCTTGTTCGCCCCCACTTCACGGATTAGCAACGTTGAACGATGATTCGACTTATTAACTCGAGAGATTCGACAGCGGTAGCACGTTTTACTACAAATTAGTCGGTAAACGTTGTTAAAATATTCGATTTATGTGTCCACTTAGCCGGTGTTTGTGACTCTTGTGCGCGAGGTATTCTTATACGAGTGATCATGTGGTTGTACACGTAAAAAACTTTAAAACTTTTCAAGGATTGATCTTAACATTTAGTGGTGTTAATTTTCTTAACCCAGTTCGGAACATTTAATCATGATGCCTTTGGCACCGACTCCAGTTCTTCCTGTGCCGTCCAAACCCAAGATCGGATTTTCCATTGACTCTATAGTCGGAGGTGCCACAAACAGCCCCCAAACATCTCCAGTGCATTATTCCGAGAGTTCAGCTCCTTTATCGCCTTCTAGCGACGCTGATCATCGTCTAAACGGTTCTCCAAAGAATTATTCACCTCAACGATCGCCGTTAGGATCACCAAAAGCTCCAATAATGGTACCGGGTATTCCAGCGCATAGCTTAGTGCGGCCGAACCCCACATATGACCCAAATTTGGTGGCCAAAAATGGGTTCCTGCAACCGGAGATGATGCATAATCACACGGGGCAGCATCCTTTCGCGTTGGCTGCTCATTTTCAAGGTGCCGCTTTGGCTGCTGCTCTAAGTGGAGGACAACATGGATTTCCCGGTCAACCATCACCGCTTACCACTCATACACCACCTCGAGATAGCTATCCGTTATATCCTTGGTTGTTGAGCCGGCACGGAAGGATATTTCCCCATAGGTTTCCTGGAGGTAAGCTTTTTTTTTGTAGTACATTGAATGCACTTTGTCTTTCTGATAATGGCTATGAAAATATTATTCCAAAGAAGTCATGTCTGAAATCTCAAAGGCGGCATGGCATGAGTTGAACAAATTTCCAAGTTTCTCAGCTTATTTCTTGAGTTAGTTACTAGTTACCGCGCTTTTCACTCCGCTTCAGAATTAGTAGTAGGATGGAATGGAAAAAATATATGAATTTTATTGCCGCTATCTTTTTGGACCTAATTATTAAGAGTCACCTTTATTTAGACCAAAACAACGGCAATCATTTAAAAAAAAAGTTGTTTTTTAATAACCTGGACCTGCATCCTGTATTCAACTAAATTCTGCCCGGAAAGGCCCTGTCTAGATAATGAATCAGAATTCCATATGCGGATCCTATCTATAATGTTTGATAGGATGTAGATGTAGGTAGGTTTAATCAAAGTCTTCAATTCCTAAGGATCAAATCGTGTGATAGATAGGTGCCTATATACTTAACCAAATCAAAATCGATCGTAGCAACAAAGTTTTGATAAATCTCGGATTAAATAGGTGCTAACACTGGAAGCCAAATTTTAAGTTACCTATCAAGCAACATTAGGTATAAAGGAAACGTGACTATAATTCTCTTGAGTAAAAAAAGAATTTATGCATAATGCCAATAAATATAAACAAAATAATAATTGGTTTCTAGTAAACTTTGCTAATACATGTAAAGTATTTTTATTCTGACTTGAAACACTGCATTATACGAGGATATTTCAACATCAGATCGCTCTCTTCTATTAATTTCATAGAAAATCTATTGTAAGTTTCCCTATACAGAATATAAGCAGCGAAGAAATATCGCTACAGTAGCCCAAAATAATAATAATATACCTAGGTCGGCACGCGCCTATAGTTTGCCTATAGGGCTACTTACGTCTTCACGGGAACGATGTAGATAAACCTACTGACTAGACTACCCGATTTCTCTAACCAGTGTCATCCCAATTTATTCATTATTTGCTGTTTTATTCCACGTATTATTTAGTTGTGTTGTTTGATATTGATTATCACCATTTATAGAGAAATAAAAATTATGTGACGCCCATGTCCTTTATTCGTTTGATGTAGGTATGCCGACTACATGTTTTTTTAGTGTTTCAAGTCGGATGAAAAATACTATACCTACCTATTTGGAACTTCACTTCAAAAATCTAAATTAATGTATTCATAAAAAATAAGAAAAAATATGCCTATAATTATTATCAATAGTAAAGTTGACGGTTAAAGATATTTATTTAAATTAGTTTCCTGTCTCTAGGTAGGTATTTATGAGCCACGTACAGTAAGCATTAATTGTGTGGGTCTGTCAAATTAATATTAATAATCGTGTTGGTGTGCGGTATAATAATGTGAGTTCTTCCGTTTTGAATATTTAATAAACATTGAAATATTTTGCACGGAAGCAGAATTATTTTTGACTTAATTAGATTTCTGAAGCAGGTAAATTGTTACCTACATGATTCAAAATATTACTGAGCCCATAATAAGAAAAAAAAGCGGAGAAAAAATATTTGACTTTCGAAAATATCATCAATTAATTTGTATCTTGAGTAGAGGTATCGCGGGTCGCTAAACATTGTTCCGCTATCATGAAATTTGAGAGTTGAATAATGGCAAACTGGTACCCAGTTACACTAAGGCACTGAAACGCGTCTGCATGGCACACCATGCTTTGACTATCAAATTTTCCATTTATTTGAAACATTATAAAATTGGAATTTTAAATATACCAGCCTTACTAATACATAACTACCGTATTCACTCACAAGATAAACAAAATGTTGTAAATGCAAAGGATGTTTTTTACCTACTCAGAAAATTGATGTTTTTCATATTTTTTCAAAAATATTATAATCATACTTTCATCTTTTATTTGAGTATGTGTTCAAAATATAAACTTTGCAAAATTCCCGAATAAAATATGATATATTTTAATTATATTTTCGAAATCAGAAAAAAGAGAATCCGTAAAAATGTGTAAAAATACTTTTTTAATTTGGGTAAAATTTTGTATGGAGGTTGGTATACCTAATCGGCTACAGTTTGCAAACTATCAGAAAGCACCGCCCATACAAGCTTTCAATTCCTTTGTTCCAAGATAAATCGGAAGGTACCTACCTAACTTAGCTGAGCGATTGTGTCTAAGAGTTTGCAAACTGTCAGAGACTCTTGTTAGAAAAGACCTTAATATACGAACTCCTAGATGCAATCCGATTTATCCAGAAAATTGAAATTCCTCACAACTATATTTAATTAACAAAAATCAGTTACAGCATATCAATAAACGAAATTAATTAATTTTACGAGCCTTATATTGCTTTATCAAAAAATAATTAGCGAAGGCTGAGTCAAAAGATTTACTTCGTACCTTTTGTTCAAATTAGGTAGGTAGGTACCTACTTTGAATTATTTATTGGTATTTTTTTTTGCATAAATTTAAACATTATTTTACTAGATAATCACGTAGGCATATTCTTGAACCATTATAAATAAGAAATACGAAACCTATCTAACAACCGGCCACATTGTTCCTACCTTATGAAATTGGCTGTCTCGGACACCATTTGGTATTCCATCTAAGTAACACATCAGCATTAAAAAAAACGTACGTCTTGAATATAATATAAAATTCTAGTAAGCAATAAGTATTGTTTATGTTTCTTTTTAAATACCTTCCTGAGAGATGGTCGCTTGAATATAAATTATTGGTATGCTAATATTCTTAGATATTGTAGGCTATAAAAAAACCGTTTCACTATTTTGCAATGGGATTTGTTCAATCTTGGATCTCTAATTACGACAATCAATAGCTTTGTTCCAACACATCAAGAAACCGTATAATGTACCGTCACGATTCTGCGCAAAGCCTAAAATTTGTGCGTAGAACCCGAAATTCGTTTACAGAGTGGTTTCGAAAACGTTCATGGGACGGTTTTTGACGTGTCGCAACAAACCTATTATTATTCAGAGTAGATCTTTTTCTTCTTGCAGTCAGCTTGTTATTCAGTAAGAAATTTTATCAATGCTTGTGGAAACAGATGAGTGTTGACTGATTGTTCTTAAAATGCGGAAATTCATATTTCAATGATGATGGAAAGTCATTTAGTTCCCAAATTAATGTGTGTTTCAAGTTGATAGTTTAACCAATAACCATGATAGTAACTCGATACTAGAAAAAAACAATTTTTTTTACCGTAACACCTTACAACAAAGTGTTCTATCTATCATTAAAATTGATTCTTGAGTCATCAACTGCATGTTAACAGGTACAAAACTTCACAACATAGGTAATTATTTTTGTTCGAGTAGGTAGGTATGTAATTAAAGCAAAATTATGATGTTTGGTTAAAAATTCACCTGTGGCCTAATTTGAGACAATTATCGCAGTCCTGGAAGTAATAATATGAAAATAACATAATTTCTGGAACATGAAATCACAGTTTCAACATCTAGCAATAGTTTGAAATTATCGGGATCCGAGTAACTGAAATTACAAAATTCTGATACGTAATGTTAATTAATAGGAAATAGCCTAAATATTCACTTTGCAAAAATTGGAAAGACCATTGTAAGAGACATTAATGAAGAGATTAAATTATTGAGACCTACCTCTAAGTTTGATGACATAAAATGTGATAGTTCAATGTTTGTAGAATTAACAAATGAACAAGAAGTTAGCAAAACCATATCTGAACTAAAGCGAAACTCTGCACCAGGCCATGATGATGGAGTTACAGTATTGGACTTGATGAATCTCAAAGATAATCTACTAAACATTTCAACAAAATTAATCAATAAAACTTTTACAGATGGAATTTTTCCAGAAGAATTGACAATAAGTAGGAGAAGTCCAATATTTAAATCTGGTCCCAAAAATTGTTTGAACAACTATAGACCCATATCTGTTATAGGTGTATTTCCAAAAATTTTGGACAATTTTTTTTAAAAAAATGTCATCCTTTTCAAAGATATAACTTTGCAAATCAGTACCAGTATGGTTTTGTAAAAGACAGCAGCACGCTTAGTGCAACAATAGACTAAATTACATATCCAGGGCATTAGATAATAAACAAATAGTTGTTGCGGTATTTGTGGACCTCCGGAAGGCATTTGACGTGGTGAGCACGGATATACTATTAAAAAACTTGGGGATATGGGTTTTAGGGGAGTTATATACAATTTAACTAAAACTTATTTGGTGTGAAGGAAACAAAATGCGGTGTTGAGTGAGATCCTCTCAAGTGAGTATGGGGTCCCGCAAGGTTCCGTCCTGGGCCCTTGTACTCAACTTGGGGTGTGCAAATCTCAGTGCTCGTTACTTTACATTCGCTGATGACACTGTTCTGGTGTACGCAGGTGATAAAGAGAGGGCATTGAGTTTCACTGTGAACGCTGATCTGAGTCTATATCTCGACTGGTTGTACCATAATAAATTGAAAATTACTGTAGACAAGACAAAATGTTATTAAAGCAAAAAAATAAAAATGTTGATAGTATAAATATTAATATGAATGGTTATAGCCTGGAGTGAGTAGAGAATATCAAATATTTGGGACTGATTATTGGCGGAGGTCTACGTTGGACCGAACATGTAGAATACATTAGATATTAATAAAATAATACCTATGATACCAATGGTATTTAAATGCAGAAACTATCTAACAAAAAGAACAAAATATATGATATATAATGCCTTCTTTATATCACATTGTAGATATTTGTTGCCAATATGGGGTACATGTGGTAGTACAAACTTTAACTCGGTCCAGGTGCTTCAAAATAAAGTGTTAAAGATTTTATTTTAACTATGATAAGCTCACAAATACCGAAACATTATACAGGGTGTTCCGGAACTATTGTGCCAAAAATTAAGGGATGATAGATCGCGCCAAAATAAACGTTTTCTACTTATAAACACATAGGCGCATGCGCTTTGGTTATGT